CTGCATCCCACTACAGCCACAGCGACACTGCCAAGAGCCCCCAGCTTTGGGGGCTGCCTGCGAGCCGTGTCCCAGCCAGCCTCCTGCAGTGTCCCCAAGACTGAATCAAAGCAGCACTGTGACACCCTCTGACACCAAAAAGCAGCCTTGGACCCCCACACTGTGCCCTGTGCCAGATGCCAGGCTGGGGGCAGCAGGGTCCCAATCCCGGGGGTAAGGTGGGCTCACTGCCTCCTCATGCAGCTCCCGGGTTGGGACATGGTTCTGCCGGCAGTTCCCCAGCACAGTGGGATACCGTGGGCAGGGGGGCTCCAGCCCCAGGGTTCGCAGCCCCACCCCAGCACAGTGGGAGGAAGGCCAGGATGCCCCTACCCGGCGGCGCAGCTCTTCCTACCTTTTACCTGTGTTGTCTTGGCGCAGTGCAGGGCCCCGGGGTGCGGCAGGGCGTACACCACCACCCTGCCGTCTGAGAAGGCGGCAGCCAGCAGGCCCAGCCGGCTCATCTGTGGGTGCTGGAGAAGGACAGACAGGCTCAGCCCTCAGGTCACCCCTCAGGACCCTCAGGGAACCCAAGGTGAGTGCTTTGGGCAGCACTCACCGTCCGGGCCGTGGCAGGCGGCTCCCAGGCCCCGCTGGGGCAGAACTTCATGTCCCAGACGCAGCCGTGGTCGGCAGCGATGGCATAGGCCAGCCTGGCTTTGTCAGGAGAGCTGTGGGCACAGGTCAGGCCATGAGGAACACGACAGCTGTTGCCCAGCAGCTCCGGTAGACACAACTGCACACCAGCAGCAGAGCTGGCCACCAGCACAGCCCCCATGGGGTTCAGGCCGTGGCTGGTGGTTCTGGGAGAGGATCAGCCTCACCACCCACTCAGCCAGAGAGACACGAGGCCTGGGCCCTGCCCCATCCCTGGGCAGCCCCTGGCCCCTTCCCCAGGCCCTGCCACTCACCCCTGCTCCAACTGCAGCGCACCCAGGCCCCAGAGCTGCAGGAGTGCGGGGCCCGTGTGCAGCCCGGCCACGCTGTGCGTCTCCTCCATGCTCCTGTGGCAGGACACGGCCACATACTGCGGGGCTGCCGAGCCCTCGGGAGTCGGGCACCACTCCATTGCCCACACCGGGCCACCCACAAAGAAGGAGATGTCCAGGCGCTCTGGGTGGGGCTGCAGGGAGCTGAATCTGAAGGGGGGAGAGAGGTGAGGGCTGCTGGGACCCCAGGGCACAGCACAGGCCAGTTGCCCAGCCCATGGATGACCCTGGGGGCCACTGCCAGTCCTAGGCCCCACAGGGCCTGAGGACACCCTGTCACACACCTGTTTACCCTGTACAAGGCACCGTCGTCCTCAATGCCCTCACGTTGGATGGAGAAGAGGGGAGACTTCTCCTCTGCTGGCAGGTACGGGGCAGCCTCACTGTGCAGGCAGAAGGTGAGACGTGTCCCTGCCCCTCACCCAGTCACCCCAGCACAGCCCCATGCCCTAGCACTATCTCAGCCTCTGTGTGACTCCAGCAGCTATGGAGGGTCCATAGCCAAATCCAAGAGATCCTCCTTGCCCACCCCCTCACTCACTCTGCACACTGCTGGGACCTGCCCCACTTCCCCCCAGCCCCACTCCCTCTCCTCCTGCTTCAACGGTACCTGTCAGAGAGACACGTCCACCTGTGTGCCATTGGGATCCAGTCTGGGAACTCCCACTGCGAGTGCTTCTGCTCCCGCCTGCAGTGTGTGCCAGGCCTCAGCCAAGGTCCCGTGCCCGGCACAGCCAGCACCCTCTGCCTTCCCCCACTCATGGCACAGCCAGCACCCCCTGCCCTCACACCCTCCCCATGGCACAGCCAGCACCCCCTGCCCTCACCCCATGGCACAGCCAGCACCCCCTGCCCTCACACCCTCCCCATGGCACAGCCAGCACCCCCTGCCCTCACCCCATGGCACAGCCAGCACCCCC